TGTTCTTTTCTCTCATTCGGAGTTAACTGTTATTTTCGTTGAAACAATATTCGTTTCAAACCTGTGCGATTGATCCTTTTTTCGTGCTTGCTGTTATGCTTCCATGACTAGCGAAATTCACGTGTACAACAATGTCACCTGTCATTACCTTTTTATGATTAATGACAACTGCTGAGAACGCTAGAAGATTTCAGTTTTGCTGGTGAGGAAAATGGTGCACAAAAGGCATGGGATAAAGCAGTTTCCGAAGGCACAGATGGAAAAGTAGTGTTCCAAGAGAAGGAATTGACTGGGAAGGTAAGAGACGTTGTATTTCCAAGCTTTGAAAAATTGTTTCAACATAGTCTTCTCACCTTTTAGCAGTTATATTGTTGATTCTCGCGCTTATTCGCTTTCATCCATAGTTTCTTTGGAAAGTTAAGAATTAATGTGGTGTTGTGTTTGTAAACTTGTTTTTTTTTTCTAAGGTTCTCGAAGGAGAGGATGAGGAAAAGTACTGGAGCGCCTTCAACGCAAGTAAACAAAACAAACTGGATAGATCGAGTGGCCGGCGTGGCGGACGAGGGGGACGCGGGCGGTATGTGCGTTCTGAAATTCTCCTACGAATATTTACTTCATGCTGCTCTTTCAGAGGTGGGCATGGAGGGCCTCGCGGGCAGAAACGCCCGGCTGAAGAAGGAGATGCTCCAAAAAGCAAAAAAATTATCTTCGATGATGACGGCAAGCCCACTGGTGATGCACCTGCTGAAGCGAAAGCTGCTGAATCCTAGGCAGGTATTCATGATTACGGTCGAATTACTGAGCTTCCACTCATTGAAAGAAATGGTTCGGCTGGGAAGCAGGTGGGACAGCCATCGTTCCTTCTTCTTTTCGAGCAAACCATCTAGCTCTGTAATCTCTGCGTTATGATTTTGATTGATTATTGTTTTGTGTATATTTCTCTGTCTTGTCTTAAATTGTTGAAAGAAAGATGATCTATATTCCATGTTCTTTACTGAATATGTCCACTGTTTCGTTTTGGAAAGAAACTTTGCTTTTTGAGTGCGTATGAATGATTTGTCGTTATCTCCTTCCCATATTGTTAAATCGTTGCTACTACAATAGCTGTGAATCGTGTTATTGAGGATTGTTTAGGAGAATCGTTGATCGTGTTATTTGTTCTATGCCGTTAAATTGTTCTAGTTCCTGATGTTTTGGTATAAATTGTTGATTATGACCTTGATAAATATGAATCCTTGAGGTTCCTCAAATACTGTATGAAGGGTCATGTGAAGGCATTGTGTTGCTTTCATGATGCAAAGATGGCGAAGAAAATGCGAAAGTCGGTATATTTAGAGAAATGTAATGTCCAAAAAAATTGTAAAATGAGAGGTTGGTCGAGAATGTGATGACAAAAGTTGCGCGAAAGGGTAGGGTTTTTGGATGAGCTGTCCAAACATGTGTGCCACTGCATACAGCTGACTATAGTAAATGGCCTGCGTGCAACGTTTGCATCCCGGTCCGATGGGTATGCCGGCTTTGGGGCTCATATACGCCCCATCTAGACTTCGACGCAACTGGCTTCTTTTAATACTGCCGAGACGGCATTAAAGGCACAGTTCACGAAAAAAAAATAATGGTTTAAGAGTTTTCCCTGTAGTATGAATTCGAGGCTTTCTCTTGTACCATACCTTCCGTTATATGGTCGAAAAACGTCGTGGATAGGGCACAATAAGCGGCAGAGATTGTATTGCGTGAATGCCCTACCCATAGTGGGCGAGTTTCAATGGTTTTGTAGAGACTGCACTATCTCAAGGGGCTCCCATGTAGGAGGTTCTAACAACTTCTCATGACCCATGGCGACAGTGTAAGACAGTTCCGGGCAATTTCGGTTTGATATATTCATCTCTTTGTGCAATGGAACCAATTAAATCTCGTTCAAATGCCCTTACATGCCATTCAAATCACGGCGATCGCGTACAACCTCCACTTCCGTTTCTTTTGAAAAGCCTTGAAGTAGACGGATTTTTCCGCTTCCTTCGCCACCGATGGCTGCTTTCATAGGCCGCCGGCCGGCCGGCCGGCCGGCGGACTATGAAAGCAGCCGATGTGCTCCTTTAGGTCAACACTTTCGCTTTTCAACCTGAAAAGGGCACCTCAAAATTATCGTACTGTGGCTTTAGGAATTAAGAAATAGTTTCACCCAAAAACCTTGCACGGCAGAGGAGTATAACCAACACAAAAAAATTTTTCTGTTGGGAGGAATAACAGTTGGCATTGCTAGGTTACTCAGCTCGTTTGCTTCATGGGAATCAGCACAAACTTGCATTTTTTGCTTATTTCTGTTATTAGGATGCAGGAGGTGCAAAGGCGACGGATAGTGGAGATGGGCTCATTGCTCTATCTGGGAGAGCCAATAGATGAGCGTCTCAGAGGGCAATAGTGCTAATGGCGTTTGGGACGGTACAGAAGGCCCCACTTGTCACAGCTGTCAGATAGCCTTGATTTTGTTTACAGCGTTATTGGCCCAAGAGGTGTACTGAGCTATAAGGACACTAGGGAAAATAAACTGAACGATAGCTACCACCTAGGATATAGTGAGGACTGGCTCTGCCACTAAAGGTGGGCATTGTACCCGAGTTAACACGGTCGTAAGCAAGCATATGGTGGTGGTTTCCCGATATAA